GCGTGCAATGCGCAGCTACTTACCCCCCAATCATCGGTGAACGAAACTGTGGCAGCTACAACCAGTGTACGACCAGTACGCGGTTATTACAGCTGATAATGATGATTTTGATGATGATGACCTATCAAAGCACTGAATAATCAAAACGCTAGACAAAATTTGCTCCAGGTGAGCATTATCTCAGTTTGGAACTCTCAAAACAGAGGTAGAAAAAATCTCAGCAATTCTTAACCGACAGACAAATATTATCAGCCCGCTGACAGTTGACAACTCAGGTCATATCATCGATACTATCCCCTCATGCAAAACACATCAAGCTCAATTTGTTCAAAAATGCAACAATGGGTGATCATCAGTCTGCATGTGAAATTGCTGCTGTCCTCAACTGTTCAAAATTTGCTACGATAGTAGGATGGCTGTGCTGGTGGATCGTCACGTGACCGTCCACATCTTCCCAAAAACATAAAGACAAAGCATGTCGGTGAGGTCCGACAGCTGTTTGATAATTAGTTGTGCATTTGGTGTTTGTCAGCGCAGGCATCTTGCTGCGTCTGACTGCTCGATTAAGATCCATAAATACCTCATTTTTCGACTTGATTCACTAAATCGTTTACTAGAAAATTTACCACGAAATTATAGCAAAGACAGACTATGTTTTGTGAAGCAGCTGGGCAGTCAAGAACTTACGTCTACTAACATTTTGTTGGGCAAGTTCTGCTTCCATTTATGCCAAGAAGTCCCGGTGTTTTCTACAAAAATTCTCGATAGGATTCTTGTGATCTTCAGCTCATCGAGTACAGGATTCACATTTGGTCATCTTAAAAATTTCATCGAAATGACAGAAAAAAGCCCTGACTTCGCTGCTAATATCTGAAAACGCCAAACTCGACTTCTTGGGCCACTGGTATAAATGCACCATAGACTATCGACTGCAGGTTGAACGAAATGTACTGGTTCCCTCCAGTAGAAGCGTCATGTTGTTAATCAACAACTAAAAACAAAATACCATTGCTTGTCTTACTTTTAGCTTTGGTTCGGCCGGAACGTTCAAGTTGGAAACATCTTATAAGAGAAATAAATTTGGGTATTCCTAAAGGTTTTACTTACACGAGACAGCATTGTGCTATGAATACTCCAGCGATAAAACCGATTACCTCATTCACTGTTTAAGCTGCCATGCAACTCATCCATGCCTATGCCTTTTTTCACATGTCATACTTATAGATCTATTGGCTGCTCGATAAACTCCTGAGTCCCCTCAGTGACAAAGCATGGGACCGGGACGTGATACCCCACATGCCCTATCCGATCTTGAGCAGTCGGTTACCATAAGATAGGTATTCTGTGGCTCACAAGCGCGCGCTCCCTCAAGATGGCAGTTTTCCGTCCGTATGAGCTCCAAGATAATCAGATTTATCTCTTTTGCCTTGGATTCGACTGAGCTTTTATAGGTAATCTGCTAGTCTATCACAAATTAGAACATTCCAATACATACGTTTACTCTCAGAGGAGTAACAGCTGACCAGGTAGACCCACAGCCCCTAGATTTTAGCGAAATCTTTTCAAGTCATAGTTGTAAAGACTAAGACCGCAGTACTTAACACAGTTTGATGAGCATGGTGTACTTGAAACAGAAGGTCGAGTGAGAGACGGCACCAGCTATCTATCAGGGAATAATTAGCTCAGGTTACCAATAGGACGACCTGCGTTTGTCAGTGCAGGTGGTGCTTTGGTTGTGTTCAGCACTTTGTATATGTTTGGGGGAGGTGAGGCAAGTCCAACACGCGAACAAAGTTCTTTTAGTTGTCGGTGGTTGCAGGCTTTGTAGAATGCACACCCACAACACTCGTTTAAACAATCGTCCTCCTATTGTGGCGCAATCATTCTAGAGAGTCTACGCTTAATAAGGATAGAACTGGACTCGAATTTCGCTTTTATTAGACCGAAGTGCACATTTTTGGTCGTGTCGGGGTTGGAACTCCGCACATTCAGCATGCGAAGCGAGCCCACCAGAGCCCGCTGGATGCATCCGAATTTATACGTCTGAAGCAGGTGAACGTGTTGACATTTGAGCGATGTGATTGGTAAACCCGACTACCCGAACAACGACCCATTAACTGACTTGGTTTTGACGATCGATCGACCCATCTGTCAGAACTTTTCAGTCAGGTAACGACAAAGATGCTTGGAACCATCTGGATTTCCGATGTGGGTAGTTGTACTGTTCACATTCGCATCACACCCGTTCGAATGGTCATACTTCTGTGCTGGTATAACAATAACATCGCTCAAGCTTGAACACGTTCACCTGTTTTTGACGTGAACGTTCAGATGCGTTCAGCGTGCGCTGGTCATAGACAATATTTTCGCGGTTTTCAACGATAAAACCTAGAAGGACTCGCTCCAAAAGGCCCTCACCACCGTCCGTTTCAGTGCGGAAGGTAAAAACCGATAACCATTTCCACTTCCTAGATGAGCTTAAATGACTTCACCATGGTACACTCAAACAATTGGTGTACCAGAAGCCAACGTGGTCAAACAGATACACTAATTTTAAGAGTTTTTTTCCACTAAAATAGAAAGCTAACCTCATCGATAGCCTTAGTAAGAGAGAGGGATAAATATTCTCTGACGATATGCTAAGACTAAACCCTAAATCTCACCAACTATAGATTGATTCCAGCAATCTGTTGAACCACGTCGAGTTACGCGCAAAACCCCAAAAGCCAATTCTTTCAAATGGAGGTTTATCTACAAATGCGGTACTATAAGTATTAGTGCACAGGAGATGATAGCCATAATACATATCAGAAGGTGAATGTGCACTAATAGAAGTTTTTGTATGGTTGCGACATGTATAAAAATACATACAGTGCGAAAATGGGAGCAAGTCAAAGAGGGAACTTATCGGATGCGAGAGTCCCTTGGTGGAAGTCCGGACGGCGGGAACGTGTTTTTCTCCGCAGTTAAACTGCTACACGTACTCCATGGTTGTCCGTGGACTTGTGGAGAGGTTGACGTCCTGCTCCGTGCGCGCGCGCGAGTCTGTGTCTTGACTGGGTTTGGTTTCTGTTTATGTAGGTCCCAGTGCGTAAATGTGGGCGCGTCGGCACATGATTGGTCGCTACGCTGACTAGGCGGTGCAGACAATCGATGTCCGATGAGTCAGCTTAATGCGACGTGTTTGTGCGTATGAGAAAAAAACAGGCCTCGCGATCCAGTGAGCGACTGTGAGTTGAACAGTCAAGT